AAAACTTTTAAAAGTATTTTCATAATCTTATAGTGAATCGCATTTGGCAACTCATTAAAAAATGTATTTGAATGAAAATTTAAAAAGTTTCAAGGGATTTTCTGAATAGTTCTTGTACTATTTAAAAGAAAGCTCAATTTATGTATAATTTATATATAGTTATGCTACATCAATTTTTAGGCTTATATTATATAAATGTATGAAATTTGATTCAAATGTGAAATAGTTTACATGTATTCAAAAATTGACGATTCACTTTTAGGGAATGATTTATAATTAAGAAATATTTATAATTAACTTATGGTAGCTAAGTGAAAACATAATGTATGCTCATTTACTTTAAAAATATTGATTCTTAAACAAAATCTTCTTTTAAGCAAATACTAAATCAAATTTTTTGTAAATTAGGAACTCTCAAAATATATCTAAATATTTTATAAATATATATGTTCATCGGCACAAATTAAGTATACTTTATTCAGTGTATCCCAAAATGCTTAAAGGAAATATTTTTTAACTATTCATGCAGAAATGTTTTGCGCATGTTAAAGCGCATGTCATCTGTTCCTAAAGAATAGCTATTTAACAAAAATATGTGTATGGACTTTCTAAAATATTTTTCGTATAAACTATGATTTCGAAATAATAAATTTCTTGCATATGTTATAATTTTTTAGAAATATATTCAATGTATTTCACTGGCATAGAAACAAGACATTTAATGCATTTATATGACTTCAAATATAAATTAAAACTTATTTGTTTGTCGGTATTTCAAAATTAATTAAACCAATATAAAAATGATTCATTAAATGATTTATTTATTTGATACTTTAATTGATTTTTTTTAAAAAGGAAATATAATTGAATGAAAGTGTAATCTTGACTTTTAATGCAATTTTTACACTCCTTCACATCCTTCAGTACATAGACCGATTTTGGATTGTACTCACGTGAACAAGAAAAAAACAGTTCTGGTAAAATTACTGTTTTTTAATGGTAATGACATTTCTGTTAATAAAAACCGAAATATACGGTAGTCACACCATTCATTGGTTAATTTATCTGTTCATATGTCAGCGATTTATCGGAAATTCTGGTTTTCAGATAGATCTTATCAATCTCATTAGCACACATTTAGTAGAAAATCAAAATCGAAAAGAAAAACTTAACCGAATAAAGGGTTTTTAGGTCAAGTTCTAAGGTACCATGATAAAATTATCAAATTTTACCACCACATTTATATAATTTTATCTTATATTATAAAACCACATTTTATTATTAATTTAAAATAAAAGCGTTTGTAAAAAGGAGATAGCTTTTTGGGGTTTCCCATACAGCTAGAAACCAGTAGAAATTTTACCATATTCTGGTAGTTTTGATCACACTCTTTTTCGCAATGAAATAAATATAATGCTGAATAACTTGTCATTTCATTTTATATTTGGGATTTCTTCGAATTATTGGGTGAGAAATGTTTGTTTCTCAGTTTAAATTAAACTCTTTCGTAATTTGTTGTCAATCTTCTGTTTTCTTCATTTTTCACTACAATCCGCTTTAATATGTTGAAGATTTTGTGCTACCTTTAGTTAAATATGCTTTACATATCCTCATCACACTTTTATTTGATATTTTAATTTCTTAGATACTTAGATACGTCTACGCAATTTTGCTTCATTGGCGCAATCTGTATCATAGACACTTACTAACACTTTTCGTTGATGACAACATAAAGCAAGACCAACCAGTTTTTTCAAAGTTCATATAATCATAAATTTGAATATCAAAGTAAGTTTTTTTGACGCTAACTTTTTGAAAGATGATAGTGAATCTTGTCTATAACTTTAATTTTAGGAAAATAGATAATAATACGAAGTAATAAATTAAGAGTCATTTAGCCAGAGTGTTTATGTTTTAATAGTAATCCGATAAGTTTAAAATCTTACTCATAAATAATGCTATTTAATTTTCTTTTTAATTTGAATAAATTTATAAAGAAAGCTACAACGTGGACAAAATTTGATTAGTACTAATATAAAAAACATGTTAATTTGTTCAAGCCAACCCTATGTTTTTGAGAACCTTACTACACTTAGCAATATTGATTATAAAGATGAATATGATGAAATATATAGTCAACGTTTGTAATCTAGACTTTTAATTTCAAAATATCACCAATAGCGTATTACGTCCTTCAAAGGACTTAATTGAATAATAACTTTTACAGTTGATCTAGTTGCTTATTTTATATTGTGATTCGAAAATAACGTTCAAAGAATTAAACCGATATAATAAATCAGTCATCAGTAGTCAATAGTGAGTAGTCGACAATAGTCAGTAGTCGACAAAATTGTTATTCTTTTCAAAATATTTGTATATATCACGTATCTGGCATTTTTTGTCATCTTTTTCTTTTTTGAAATAATTGTTAAAAAAATGAACGCAAACTGAAAAAAAAGCATAATTTGTGTTTTGAGCTTTTATATATGACAAAAATTTAAGCATCTTGTAACTACTGTGTGTTAAAAGTTAGTTCCTTTTTTAGGTAGCTTTCGAATTTTTTCACGTGACCTAGATGTTTTAATAAATTTGCATCCATTGTTATAAATCGCAATCACGTAGCACGTAATTGTTCTGCCGTTTAGCGTACAGTGATTATGTTTTTATGTTACATAAGCATGTTAGAAACTAAATTTTTTATCTCACAGAAAGAAATGATAATTTAGAATTTCCGTAATGTTGAAATCTTTTTTGATTATATTATGAGTTTTCTTTTGTTATTTAAAGTAAAAATTTGCATTTATTGTTACAAATCATTATCATATGCATCTTTAACACGCTATGGATTGACTATGATTGATTGTTTATGATTTTCTTTTAAATTACTATGATTCATTAAGATGACATTTTTTTTATTTTATCTAATTTTCTGCCTTATCTACATGAATTTCAGTTCAGTTTTTCATTAAATATTCAGTTTTTACAAAGCCTAAATATATTTTTTAACACATCATGATATTCAATGAGTTACCAAATTTACTAATTTTATCGCTTCTTACAGAACCATATTTTATTATTAATTTTACCAAAAATCATTCTCAATGTGCTTCCGTAAAAATTACCGAGCTTTTTTAGTGTTTTCTTCGAGCCAGAAACACAGTGAATTTTACTATATTCTGTTAGTTTTGACAACATTTTTTTCTCAGTACTTTAATTCGAGATTGTTAACTGCATAGATGCATATACCGTCATGTTTAAACAGAAACTTCAATAGAATTTAAGATCACACTGTTTCTTATATTATTGCTTTGATGGAATATGATTGCAATTTTTGGACTTAGCTATACCCACTCATCTATCACTTAGTAAGAATTCGAAGCTACTTGTTCAGTTTGAACAGGGGTCTGATAACATTGGTCGATAGTTAAGAGAATAGATAGAGTGGCTTCTCAGGTGCCCTAACAAATATGCTATGGCAATAAAAATTACTCGTCGCGTTTAGATTTTTTCTTTTAATTTTTTTATTATTTAATTATTCTAAAAGGGAACAGAATTTCTTGGCCATAGAAAGGAAGAAAGCTATGGAGAACTAGCTTCTGAAATATTTAATATTTTTAAAGCTCTACGAGGTAACTCCTTTAAATTTCCCAACATGCATTTTCTGCTTTTGTACTTCATAATAAAAGAAATCATTATTGGTGGTATGACAGCGCAGAGAAGTAAATATATTCAATAAGCAATAGTTCATAACAGATATCTACATTAAAAAACTATTAAAAATTTAATTCTGATTAGTATTAATGAGTGTAATTTAAATAAATAGAATTTTTATTTTTAGAAAAATATGAAGTTTTTAATTGCATTTTGCTTCAAAATTTAGCCACTTGTTTGAAAAAATCTTTATACATTTTAAATCAAAGCTAAGTGTTTCATAAGAAACGGGTATTGAAATTAATTTGACAAAAAATGAAACAGTTTCGATCACCTTAGTTACTGAAAAAGGAAACTAAAACCATTGTTACTCATAAAAATCGTGAAGTTCCACATTTGTTTAAGAAAATTCCACACATGTTAAAAGAAATTTCTCTAACCAAAAATTAAATTAAATTAAAAAATTAAATTAAGTCTTCTTCTGTATGACCTTGGATTGTGTGGTCAAACTTAATTCTTTTCCTACATATTTTGTCATTCTACATATTATATTTTAACTTCTTTTAAGTGTGAAATAGCAAGTAAAATAACATGAAATACCTTAGGTAGTTAAATATCAACTTATGGAATTAAAAAAAAACAAGTGTGGTCGTCTAATTACTTGCTCTTGTAAGCGTGAAATAAAATACTTATAGTTGTTCAATATCAAATTAAGGTGTGAAAAAGTAGGGTTGTTTCGTTACTTCCTCCTGTATGCGTGAAATAAAACATCTTGGTTGAAAAATAACAACTGAAGGTGTAAAATTAAACGCCTTCTAATGAAAAAAAAAACAATTTGAGGTGTAAAAGGAAACACCAAAGGCTGATATTTATTAACGTCGAACAAGAGTAAAAAATACACCTCAGTCTGAAATATGCACCGAGCACAACCTCATCAAATACACATCAATTTCAACCTCATTTATACTTCATGAAAAAACCTAAAAGCTATACCACAAAACACTTGTTTTTTGTTAGGGAGATTCAAATTTTACATCAAAAAATTCATGATAAAATTGAGGTAAAATTACCGACAATAGGGGTAAATTTTTTTTTTTTTACGTAAAATCTATTTTTCGAGTAATATAATTTTACCATAATATCTATTTAATTACAGTGATTTAATAAATTTTATTGTAAAAATTATGCCGTATCAGATTTTTTGCTCCGTAAAAATTGACGTTAAAGACAAGTTTTTCTTGTATAAAGCACAAGCGTTATGAGTGTCTTATTTTTAACCTTAATTTCATCATAAATTTTTTACAGCGAATGGAAACTATATTTTAATAGTTAAAAAATTAAAGCCTTACCTCTTCTAAATCTTCGTTAACACCAACACTCATGTCATAAGTTCATGAAGTGAACACTCATTTAGTCTTTTAGTGTGCTTACTATGAATCTTCATTCGATGTATCCACATGAATTTCTATATTCACAGTAAACACTGTTAACAATCGATGCAAACATATTTTTTCACTGCTGTTTTAAAAAAGCAAGAAGTTTTCGCTTTCAATCAAATTTGCATTTTCTTTTTCTTCATATTCCGATTCATGTTTGTAATGAAATAATGAAAATATTATTAAGATTATACCGCATTTATGAATTCTTTATACTTACAAATTAATCAAAATGTCATATTTTCTGCATAACATCTACTTAAATTGCTATTTAAATCTTAATATTTTTTGTATATAGTTAAGTTTTCTCAGTTCTTTAATTTTTAAAAGCCAAATTAAGAATGAATTTAAAATATTTTGTTCCGTAAATGTTTCAACAATTTCAAACAACTTAACAAAATAAAAACAATTTATTGTTATTTTAATGTATTTTTTGTTTTGAATTATTTTTCTCTAATTTATTAAGATTAAATTTTCATTATATGATTATTTTTACACTTTTTAAGAAAAATATAAATAACAATTATTTGATCGTAACTACAAACCAATCAATTTAATTGTTGAAACAATTTGAGTATTTTTTATTTCTAGTGATTATATATTTGAAAAATCTAAACTAAAATTTTATAAAAATGGGTTATTTTATTGAATATTTTTGATAAATTTTGATTTAATTCATCGCTCGATACTGTTTGATTGTCATAAAAAAAATTTTGGTAATATATCTAATGCACACTAGATTTCCTACTTTATCACATTATTACTCAAATATCATCTTCATTGAAGCTTTTAGGAAAATAAAAAACGAATTTTATCTTCGTCATCACAAATATCTTCTTTCAAACTTATATTTGCTGATAAAAAACATTCCATCTTCAACGATTGCAACACAGCTGAGAAAATATCACACATGGCAGATTATCCGAAGTATGCAATTTTTTATTTTATATTTGCCAATAAAAGATGAACTGGAAACATAGAGAAACAACAACTATTCACTAAAGCTTCCGCCCACAAATGCAGACAACGTGCATCTGTGGACCAAGAGGGGCTGGTTGATTTCCACTGATTGGTTCAAGCGCCACCTGGTGCTCAAAGCAAGACATAAATTCAATCAAGTTAGTATGTCATCTAAAGAGTTGTTATGTTGAAAGATTAGGAATATTTCTTTCTAGATTTCGAGAATATATCTGTCTTGGGCTTAAAGAATTTATTGATTTTCAAAAAATGCTCAAGAACTAATTACCAAAAAATATATGTTTTCAGATGATATTTCAAATTCTTGATAAATGAAATAAATGATAAGCGATTATAAAATGAAAAATAAGGATTATTAATATGAAGGGTAGAAATAAAGTTTTCAAATGTTAATTTCTTTTCAAAAATTCCTTTTTTTTGGGGGGGGGGGATCTGAAGTTTTATTATTTGATTTTAGAATTTTTACTTCAATTAATTTGTCTAGTTTTATGGTGTTCTATTCTGATAATTCAAATTAAGGACATAATTCAAAATAAGTGAAAAACGAAAAACATTATTTTAATAAGACATTGCCTCCCAAAGTTTATATTGTTTTCAAGAAGAACTAAACTGTCCGGATACTTTTTAACTGTCGACACATGGGTATCAATTGTCTAAAATATTGAGCTGTTATAAAACGCCAATATTTGCGAAAGTAAAATTATATGTCTTTTGAGAAACTAAACCAATCTTTAAAACTAATGTATCTTACATGGTTTTTCTTTTGATTTCAATTTAACATGTTTTCCAGCTTTATTTCTTTATCTATCACAATAAAAGGAAGAGTTTGCGTGTGTGTATGTGTGTCTCTTTTATGCATAACTCGTGAACGGTTTACATCGTGAAAAATTCCAGATTATATTAAGTACTCGGTCAAAATACGCTGGAAAATTCCGTATCAAAAAATACAGGTACTCAGGTAGCAGATACTTTTTACCGAAAAAATCCTCTTTTACCAGGACATATTGCAACAAAAAACTCATATACCGTAATTTTTACAGCAATAATTACAGTAAAATCACTGAATTATTCTAATTTAATAAATATTGTTGTAAAATTTATGGTATCATATTCCACGGTAAAAAAATGGATTTTTAATGATTTTATGTATGCACCCAAAGTGCCGGTATTTCATACTGTAATATTAACCGGAGCTTTTTACAGTGTATACAATCATCGAGAAATTTGGATTACGTGTGAAAGAGAAAATTTAGTTCCAGATTCTAGAAATCATTAAAAAATTTAAATTACTCGGGAAAAAAGTTTGAAAAATTAAATTTTCTCATGTTAAACTATTTAAAAGATAATACTACTGATGTTTGCTAGTTCAATCTAGTTCATATTAAAAAATGAGTTTATTGCGTGTTAATAATATTTAATTATTTTAATTTGTTATGTCAGGTAAGATCAATAATAAACTTGAATATCATATGTTGTTACCGAATTTGTATGTTTAAAATTATCTGAAATCACGTTTTTATTTGGTTTTCAGTTTATGCTTTTGAAAGGTGCTAAAGGTATAAAAATAAGTAATATAAAATCAGTTGTAAATGGAACAAAAAGAAAGGCAAATACTAAAAAGCATAAGTGATTGAGAAAAGGTAAATTATTTGTTTTCGAAGTGATTAAGAATCGCCAAATTATTGTCTTCATAATTGATCAGTGATTATTCAGTTTTTTAATTCGTACTACTTGTGGTGGTAGGTGCTGTTTTATACCAAATATATGGATGGAGATAATTATTCGTTATTTTGATGAAATGAACTTCTAAATATGTGTTTTGATTAATTTAATAATGAAATATACCAGGATGTGTAATGAATAATGAAAAAAATGGGAATTATTTAAAAACTTTTAACTGTGTCTGTATCGGCTTTTAAGTTTTGTGCAACATTTTATGGTATTTATTACTACATATTTATTGATTATAAGCTAGTAAGCAAGTATCTAACTATTGATAAATTATATAGTGTTCTGATCTAAAATATAGGTGGTGTTAAAATCTAATATTGTCTCCATTGTTTCAGGTGCATTTTTACTGGTCAAAAAATCACATAGCAAGACCAGTTTTCTCATTTCTATTTCCATAATTTATTGGTTGTCATTAGCACAAAATAAGTAAAGTTCATAAGCTTAGCATTTTTCCTGTAAAACAATTTGTATCCCACAACAATATATATACTAATAAATAAATGCAAAAAGGACAAAAAGAAAAAAAAACGAAGAAAATTAAGAAAAACAATAAGTTTTATTTACTGCGCATAAGCTGCAAGTAAATAGAACATAAAATAAGTTAAACTTCCATCCATCCATCCATCCATCCATCCATGCATGCATGCATACATACATACATAGATACGTTTTAATGATTTAAGATTATCATTAACAAGTAAAATTACTTCTCAATTATTTTTTCTTATAGTATCACATAATCTATGCTCCCAAGTTTATGTACTTTATCTGTACTGTTTATTATTCTCCAAATCAATGTAATCGTCCATTTAGTTACGATTAACGTATTGATAAAGATAATCCTGCATAAAATTATAATAATTTTGTATTTTATAAACAAAATGATATTTGTTTTTTATTTTTTAAAAACATCGACTTTTAAAGAAAGAAAGATGGTGCATGGAAGCAATCCCAAGCTTTGGTGAGCGGAATGCACAGGGAAAAGAACATCCTGGTGGCATATCGCATTAAAGAATTAAATAACGGATTCTAAGTTAAACATCGCTATGATGCATGTTGCAACTAGAATAAAGAATTAGAAGGAAACATGCATCGCGTAACAAAAATATAAAGTAACGATTTTAAAGTACGTTTCGATAAAATCAAAAATTCAAAGTAACCTTAAATTTTATCATAAATCGCAAACGCAATATACAAAATTTTAATTTACGCTGCATTACGCAACTTTAAATGCATACAATTCAATCTAAAGGAATGACATTTTTTATTATTTTACAAAAAGGAACTCCATGATTACATACAAAAAAAAGTTTTGATATACGTTAATCTTAAAATTATACCAAATCCTTAGAAATTTCCTTTTAATTTTGTGAAACTATATTTTAGTAGTAAATTACATTATAGTTCAAACTCGGCAAGTTTTGTAACCTTTGCTTAAAATATTTTATAGATAAAAATTGTCTATATGTATAAGAAAACCTTTGAAATCCAGTATTTGCAATAATTGTATTTTTAAGTATTTAAATTTTTTCAATTTGTGATAAAGATAGGCCCTATTAAATCCACTCATAATCAAAAATTGAGCACAAAAGCTCTAATTTTAAACTTAGCGATATGATGATCTAGTTTGTCCATATATTATAGTTCAATAAAAAAGAAGAAGAAATATTGTCAATGACAATAACCTTCAGAAAGCATTGAGCCTCATATTCCTTAGTAGATCGTCATCTTAGTAAAGCAGTTTTCATACTTTCTTATAGCCCGAACTTGGCACCTTGTGACACTATCTGCTTTTAATGTTAATACAATTATTACTAGTATAATTTGTTAAAAGAAAACACACACAAAAATCATAGAAATTAATAAAATAAAATATATAAAACGCCATAATTAAGTAATTTTATGGACGCAAAATGACGAAAGAGCAGGATTCCAACCAGAGTTAAAAAATACCTGTATAACATTTAAAATTATGTTATTAAATCTTATTCTCCGTATTTAAAACTTTTTAACAAAGTATTTTGTTCCTCCTGTAATATTTATATTAATGAATTCCATTGTAGTCTAGACATAGTTTATTTCTTATTTAATAAACTGAATCTGTTTGCATGAGATCAGTTTGAAGTAAAAAAAAAAGATCGGATAACAATTAAACCTTAAATCTGGAGTAGACACATAAAAACCTGATTTCGAAGTGCCACTGAATTAATGAATCTCATACAAAGTGAATGCTAATTACATTGTCTAGACTAGTTTATCTCCTATTTCATTATCTACATACTCCTCTAACATTTCTCTTATTCCTCTAACAATTCTCTAATGTCTTTTTTTAGAACTTGATGAAATATCCAATATGCTAACATATGTTATGACTGTGAAATGTTTTTTTAATCACAAATTCATTTATTTTATAAATTATAGAGAAAAAAAATAATCAGAAATTTTTATCAGTAGTTATTTCTTAAATAAAATTTTGTTTTACGTTTTCATTTTCAAAAAATTACATTTTCCATAAGTGATATGTCTAAAAACAGAGAAAGTGCAGAAAATAAAAACATTATTAACAAAAA